AACAAGGAAGAGGCTAAAAAAAAAACCAATTTTAATCTAATTAAGAGTGCAACATTGAAAAATTGAATATGGTACGTGGCGATACGTGGAGGCCAAGCTGTGTGCTAGGCGAATTTAGGCGAGGCATATGCGTAAAAAAAAGGTAAAAATACATTTTCTTATTTTAACATTATTTTAATTTTTAATCAATCAAAAAATCATTTAATAATTAAAAATAATGAATATCAAACATTTAAAACAGATTTATAGAACTTTATATATTTTTTCAAAAATTTCCAACAAATCAATAAGTTTCAAATATAAATCAACCTTTAAATTTTAACTTAAAAGAATTGTAATTTAAATTTTGCTCCTGTTTGAACCATATTAAAAATTTTATTTTTATTCTTCTACTCATTTTCAATCACACATTTTTCAATAAAATAATATTTTACATCACATCAATAATTTTTTTTTTTCTTTTTGCAACTACACATTCTCCATGAATCTACTATTTCAAAATACATTCTTTCAAAATAATGTGACTCAAATACACCCTTAAAAAAAGAGATAATAATCGCTACTAGACGAGCATTAGCAATCAACGATTGTCATTGACCACTAAATATGGCTTGGTGCTTCCACCTCGCATTGAGTCCAGACATCTTTTAGAACACTGAATATGGAAGTAGGAAAATGTAAAATCTTATATGACTCTATTTTTTCACTTACCGTGGCCACGATGGCGTCTCTTGCTGTCAAACTGATGATATCTGCACAAGAAACGACACCAGGGCATTCAGATTCAAGCAGACTCTTCACCCTGTCAATGAAATCAAAGCCCCTGACTGTTTGATTTGGGACTGAAACCTTTTCAGTTTGGTTTCCTGTGCTTGATGTGAAGTTCAGAAGAATAGATGCATCACACCCCTGTTGAAGCAATAGATTTCAAGCCGCGGGTCGAAAAGTTTTCATCGTTGAAGGTGAAATTTTAAGAGAAGCCAATTACGTTACCCGGACGAAGCAGTCGTGGAAATGCATCCTTATGAGGGTGGCAGCAAGAGATGGAGCATTTGGGATGTGTTTATTGACATAGTCCTGTACAATTTTCTCAGCTTTTGGACATGTCTTGGCATAGAAATTCATCTTCAAATCAGCTTCAGCAGAACCTAGTACAACTGCCAGAATCAACATTAAAATCCCAGAATGTCTGAATCCACCCATTTTTTTCTCCTAAACTCTCTATCTTCTTTTGTCTGTCATGTACGAATACAAAATGCATGAATTTATGTGTACACCCCTTCACTTTCTAACTAATCCCAACAGTGTGGACCAGCTGTATATAAAAGGAATATAGTACAATTCACTCTATGACTATGAGCCGATTATGATTAAAAAAAAAAAGGTTGGACCAGCTGTATATAAAAGGAATATAGTACAATTCACTCTATGAGCCGATTATGAAAAAAAAGAAAAAAAAAAGGTTGAACTCCAATCTTGAGGGCCCTCCAACGCCCCTTTTCCTATAGCATTGTGGAGGAGGTAAATCGCAGAATGTGTCTCAACAGATCAAGGTACAAGAGTTGTCATACTGGTGCCCACAAAGAGTCCAATTTCATACCTTGTAAGAGGTGAGAATCGAACTCTCACACTGCGGCTGTCAGTTCAGTTGAGACTATCTCACTCATATCCTTTGCACCACTGAATTATGTCCAGGGGGACTATGAGCCGATTATGAATCTAATCATGAGTCTACTAAGCATTACACTTGAAATATTACGATGAGAAGTATCATAAGTTCACACGATGTATAATTTTTTTAATGTTTGGTTTTATCTTTTTGCGAAGGGTTAAACTTTCAAATTACTTTTTATTAATTGAAGATAAGCTCCTCATTTTAATATTTATTTCTAATATGAATAAGTCCCTGTTTAACACCCATTTTTTCTCATTTTCAATCTCATTTTTTTTCTTTATTCATTTCAATCACACATTCTATCAATAAAATAATACTACACATAAACCCAAAAATTCTCATTATTTTTTAACAACACATTCTTCCATCAATCAGTATTCCGAAATTTATTTTTTCTTCAAAATGGGTGTCAAACAGGGGCTAAGTAGTAAAGGTGGTCTGAGATTTAAAATGAAAAAAAATAAAAAAATGTTACCATATTAAATAAATACTAGCCTGCATAATGCAAATATCGTTAGATAATTTTCCATATGACGATGCACGACTATGCCCTCGTCTAGGAGGGATTTTGTGAAGGAATTTTATGCCATTATACAGTGTATTAGCAGTGTAAGGATTCGCTATTTTTGACCGGATTAAATAAAATGACCAATATGTCCATTTATCATTTAATTCATTATTATGTGAAAATGGCATTTCTGGTAATTGAATTCATGTTGAGAGGGTGTTTGAAACCCATTTTCTGGAGAATGAAATTTTTGAAATAGTGATTGATGGGAGATTATGTGGTGGAAAAGTTATGAAAAGTTTTAGATTTGTGTGTAATATTATTTTATTGGAAGAATATGTGGTTGAAATGAAGAGAGAGAAAAAAATGAGAATGAGAATTAGATAAAAATGGGTGTCAAACAGGGCCTAAATGTTNACATATAAACCCAAAAATTCTCATTACTTTTTAATTACAGATTCTTTCATCAATCAGTATTCCGAAATTTATGTTTTCTTCCAAATGGGTGTCAAACAGGGGTCAAGTAGTAAAGGTGGTCTGAGATTTAAAATGAAAAAAAATAAAAAAAATGTTACCATATTAAATTAATACTAGCCTGCATAATGCAAATATCGTTAGATAATTTTGACTATGCCCTCGTATAGGAGGGATTTTGTGAAGGAATTTTATGCCATTATACACTGTATTAGCAGTGTAAGGATTCGCTATTTTTGACCGGATTAAATAAAATGACCAATATGTCCATTTATCATTTAATTCATTATTATGTGAAAATGGCATTTCTGGTAATTGAATTCATGTTGAGCCAACAATTATTGCACAAGTGAGACCCACCAATACTACCAACGGTAAAAAATGAATTAAAATTTTCACAAAATCTCTTTTGACGGGTTGGTATGATGCCCTTGTAATTATTGTGTCCAAATCTTAAAATTCAAATTCAACTTGACATGACACTGTCACTAGTCAAATGGGTAGTTTCACAAACGGACAGTACACATATTTTTTTGACAGAAATTACGTGGCACAGTTTCATTGGAATGGGTATCCCAAAACCGACATGATTTTTCACAATTTTTTTTGACAGAAATTACGTGGCACAATTTCATTTGAAAAAAGTAAAAATTACCTCATCCCCATGATCGGTGGGTATCCCCCAAAACGGATCCCTATGTCCAACATATATAAGAAGTTGGATCTTGCTATATGTATCGAATTTTTTATTTACTATTCACAATGAAAATGGAGATCACATTATCGAGATTTTTAAATACATGCTGATCCCAAACATTATGTGAAAGAGAATAATCCATTATGTACAAATGAATTATTCCTAAAAAGTTATTCATTTTAATAGTAAAATATGAGTTTTTAAAAAATAAGTGAACCCATATATCTTAACTTCGACTTAGCACAAACATAAGTTTCTAGACTACTATCGTGAAAGATTTTACTTTTGATTAAAATTTGGTATAGAATCAAGAGTTACGAAATTTTTACAACTGTTCTATCTTTCGTGAAAATGT